TATATCTTAAATACATAATATATATATATATATATATATATATGTATTTTAAGGATATAATATAAAAAATATAATATAAAATTGTTTTAAACTAACGTTTTAAACTGATTTTCATTGCTTTAGTTTTCTACTATATCGACATTATCTTACTGATATTTATTTATCCTACTTTGTAAAATTATTTGTATTTATTATACAAACACAGACAATCATTAAAATTAACTTACGTATTAAGTTAAATTCTTATATTAAATTTTAGACATGAAAATTAAATTATTGATACATATAAATAGAATACGTAATTATATTGATTAGCGCAGTATATTGAATCTTTTACTGATTTAAAAATTTTCCATGTATATTATATAAATATATTAATTGTAATATTATATCATGTAATTGAACGTTGCATATTATATATATTTCAATATACGGAAAATACTTAAAAAAAAAAAAATGTATCATCAAAGAATGATTCTAAATTAGCTAGGTATCTTTTACTTGTTCTATATTACCGACGCAGTGCACAAAAAACAACTATGTTCAGAACAATATTTTTATTCAATTTATTCAAGCAAAAAAAAATTATTATATGAGTTATTTATAATTATAATAGGTAATTTCTTAAAGAAAATAAGGTAAATATAATAAAAAATATGAGAAATATAAATATTTTATTACTTCTTTGACTAGCGTAGTATACCACCATTACTGTCACTCAAGGAGTTTTTGTAGCTAGATGAGGACGAGAGGGCAGTGCAGTTTGGTGCGGCTCTGTGGCACCCTTGCAATTCTGACTTCGAAGTTTTTCGCTGGCGTGTATTAATCTTCATCGTAACGATTGTTGTCGAAAACGTGCTTTGTTATTAATTTTCTGTAACCGTCTCGATACGAAAGACCGCGCGGATGTGTCGTTAGTGTGCACGTGTTCTTTACGCTCGCGCAGTGTTTCGTAAAGAGAAGAGGCCAAGATACATACGTACGCGGAACTGCAGCTGAAAGGGAGGAAAAGAGAAGAAACACAACGAAGAAGAAAAGGAAGAAGTAGAAGATGAGCAAGACGTGCGCCCGCTGCGAGAAAACGGTCTACCCGATCGAGGAGCTCAAATGCCTCGACAAGGTATATTACATTTCTTTCTGCATTTGTTACGAAATTTTGGAAATTTTTTCTACGTTTTCTTATATTTACGTATCAATTATTTCATTATGTATTTTCATAACAATTATTTCAATCATATATAATCTGTCATAAAATTTGAATGGGATAAAATTCATATTTATTTAATTTAGTAGAATAAATCTTGAAACAAATTATGAGATATTGTGTTAACAATGCAAATGAATTCATTTCGTGTCGCACAGGTTTCTCGGACAGATTTATGATTTTCGCGCGGTACAATTATTTTGCACTTTGGATAGTAATAATCACACTCTTCAAAGCAAGATAAGATTTTTCGTATAGATAACCTTTTATCTAAAATTTAGATTGTAGATTATTGTCTTTAAAAGTTCTTTCTTTGCACCTTAAAAATTTTCTATATATTTCTATATATTTTATTCATATCTCTCACAAGAATGATCTCTATAAACGAGTAGCGTGAAACGGTTCGGAATTTTTTGCAACAGATCATAAGATGTACCGTTCTCGTTTAGTTCCGCTTAGTGAGGCGTGCTCTTCCATTCGGCATAATTGTCTGTGTCGTTCCGTCCATCCACGCTAGCATACAACATATTCTCTGTTCTCTGCTCGACTCGGCCAACATTTTTCCATCGAAGACGCCGCATTTCTTCATAATACGTTTATGTTTCATACGTAGTATATTTTCATCGAATTCATTCTTTAACTTAGGTTTTCTTATTCGAATTAATAATTAATCCAGATAAGTAATTGTTTTCTAAAAAATACAAAACTTGTATAAAGTTAATTCTTAACGAATAATTGTGTGTGTATATATATAAATAACGCGTTCGGAACTATTTAACCAATATTATTGTTATATATAACCAAAATTATTCGTAACAAAGCAATATATAAGTTAAAATTATTTCAATGAAATTACTCAGGGCAATACACACGGTATGCTATAGAAAATTACACGTGTTAAGTTCATTACTATCGATATTAATTAATAATCCTGCGTAAAAGATCGATAAATATATTTAATTCTATTATATATGTTTATTACAATAGTATTCTATCTTATTTATAAATTGAATTTATAGAATAATTGAAAATATCATGACTTCCCACCGCTTAATCATATCCAATAAGATTATGGACATAAAAATACGTAGCAGTTATGATTTATTTAACAAACGCGAGTCCGTGTTAACGAGGCTTAAATTGCGTGGGCGGCATTTAGCACCGGAAAACGAACTATAGGCCGGCAGAAAAGGCTCGACCTCCTAAATTTGGACGCATGAGATGCGCGATCTCTCCACGTTGGTTTTCTAAATTTTCTTTTCACATCCTTCTCTCCTCTAAGTTCATTTATTTTTAGCACTTTCTGTGGGTCACGGTTAAATATTCATCTATTAACTTTTCTAAACGATGAATACGAATTTAAATAAACTTGTCAATTTTTCATCTCATCAAAGTTAGAACTAAAAATTATTTGGAGTTATTTAAAATTAAAAAATTATTTGAAATTATAAGAATTATCGTTAATTTTATTAATTTATCAATATTATTTAGTCATTTTTAAGAATACAAAATACAAAATGTCAAAATTTTGTCTAACGTGTCAAATTGTTTAATATTTGATTTTGATAAATGTATATATAAGAAACAATATGAATTCTATAATTTTTTTCTTCTTGTGCGTTTTATTATCATTTAACGGCGATCATTTTGGAATAGAATTCCAAAAGTTTTTTTTTTTTTACACGTCAAAGATCGTTGAAAAGATCGCAGAAGATACATACTACCTTAACCTTCAACCTGTAGAATAAGAGCAGTAGAAAAAACAATCTCGTTCAAATCTGAACGAACGAAGGCAAACTACTAGAATTGGATCTACCCGCGAATAATTATTTCTTTGTAAGATTATAGTCCGTTACCGCGCTCGCTGATTTTTCCTCTCTCCGTGTGCGCGTGCGCATATCTCGCCTTCTCGTTATTCGCAGTCTGCTCGCTCTTGTGAATGGCGTGTATAGAAACACTTTCCTCTCTCTTTTTCATCTCCCTTTCTCGTTCTCTCACGCTCTCCTGTTTCATCTCTCCTTCTTCATCTTTATCCGGTGTTCTCCGCCCGTAAAGAAACCTCGAGTACGGAGGACAACGCGCACGGATCAAAGCGAGCAGCGAGAACGTTGCGCAGTCGACGGAGACGAATTAAAGCGCACGAAGGACAATTAACGTGTACCGCGCGTTCCTCTAATCCGGAGAAATTTTAAATTACGCGATTGTCTAGACGAGCGGTGCTTATTTTTTTTCTTCGTAATACGTTAGCGAAATATTTAAATATAACGACAAAGCAATTTTATTGTTGAAAGATTGAATTTCGTTCGACATTTTTTTATTCGTAATATTAAATATTCGCGCAATACAATAGAAATATTACATTGCAAAAACATATTTGAATACGAAACTAAAGAATACACGAAATATTAAATATTGGCACTTTTATATCGAAAATTCGAACTGGTGGAAGCGTTAAAACGATCATATTCGTATCGAATATTTTCAGATCGCGATCGATAGATCGTTCTTTATTCCGTGGGTACGTTATATGTTTTTTTTTTTTTTTTTTTTTTTTTTTTTTTTCCTCGTTGGAACAGATACTTTCACTGGACTTGAAGCGCGTTCACAGTGTTTGTTCTATTTTTGCGCGTTCGATCGTACCGGTAGAGCTACAGTGCAGCACCGGATTCGAATAGTGTCTTGTTTCAATTTACACAACCCGCATGTGCGTACGACCAGACGTACGCATCCTGGTGTAAAGGCAATTAATCCACGTCCCATTAACCGGAGAGGAATTGCTTTTTCCAACACTTTTCATTGTCGAGCCTCTTCTGTTTCCTTTTTTTCTCTCCTTCTCTATCTCTCTTTTTTTTTTAAACAAGCAGAAAAATTGAGGCATGGTCGAGAAGATATTGATCCCGATTTTAATCTTTTTAATTCAACTTAAGAATAAAAACTTTTCAAATTTTTTTAGAAAAATACTTCGGGCTAAAAATACAAATATCGAACGATTAGATATATAAAAAATCAAAAATGTGGATCCATTGTTTGCGTTAACAGTTGTTATATGATCCTAAGAAAGAACGTAGTTCGGTGAAATTGTAATCGAATTCCAAGCTGAGGCTACTCGTTGCGTGGGCCTGGCACACGATTGCAACAGGTGGGAGTCATTCCCAACCTGTTGCGCCTACACTGTTTCAAAAATACGTTGAACCGTACAGAGCGAACATTTGCGCTCCAATCAAAGAATTGAATGTGCGAATAATTTTTATATCGTCAGAATGAAGAAAATTTCTTTTCGAATATTTTGCGCAAAATTAACTTTGTAATATAAATGATATTACAAAATATTGTTAAGGGTTAAACTTCATCGCGTTGCACGAGATAATAAAACGATCTGAAACAACGTCATGATGAGAGTCACTATGTGAATTTTAGAAGAATAAGCCTTTTACTTTCCTGCATCCCGGGTTCCAGCCGTTAGAAATTTCTGTTATGCCAGCGATGCGACACGGCATCCGGTTGTTTCCCACTGCCTGTTGCGAAAACACGAATAATTATTCTATGAGCGCGGGTAACATCTACTAGACACCTTTTACCAGGAAAAAAATTCTCTCTTCGTTGCATTTCAATTCGCGACGAGTTTGTAACGTGCTAATCTGACACCACAAACCTACTTACATCTTTCTGGCCGTTTCGTATAAAACGACAAACGATTTCTTTTATGCTTAGAAAACAAGGGAGGGGAGGGGGGGAAATATCCTTGATAAAATTTCCAACGTCGTCTCGTTTTACCACGTTAAAACGAGACGAATCAATCATTCGAAAATTGCTAATTCATATTGCCTCGATATTTTTATCAAATATTCGACAAAATTTTTTTTCAAACTATTATTGCTGCAACAGATTACTTCTCGTTACGAACACATTCCACGAACATTGGCTATCATATACACCTTTCAGAAGAGCGGACCTCACACCCGGAAAACAACCACAACCTGTCCTTTCCCCATTCACGACCAAACCGAACAATCGACCATTCACTAAACAACACTTCTATCCATTCTCCCTACCTCGAAAATCACCTTCGGTCCCCTGAAACTCATCCCACGATGAATTTTTAATAGCGCACAATTTCTCCGTTTGGTACGCCGAGCATCGAGATAACGCTCTCTCGTGCTATCGTCGAATACCGTGAAACGTTTGATATTTAACGGGTCGCGGAAAGGTTAGCGAGGATCATTCGGCTGTCATTGTCCCCGCGCGGCACTTTCACTTTCGTTCGACGACGACGAAGCGACTCGATTCGGCCGCGATACGATTCTATCCGATTTCTATCCGCCCGATCTAATTTCGCACGGCGGGCGCGCTTTCTTACCAACCGAGGAAAAACCGTTGCTCCTTATACGGGAATAACTATGCCAGGTTATTCAACGCGCACGATTACACGATTCTTACCGTCCTCCTCCTTTCTTTCTTCCTTTTAATTGTGTAACGTAGTCGATTGTCGATTGTACGAGAGGGAAATTCTTGGTATAGCAAGTATGCGAGCGCCGTTCGATTCCATGGTATCGATTTTGTTAGAAGATGGATAAACGGATAGAAGATAGAAATCGCTTTCGGAATATCGCAAAAGTTTTTTACAGCGTTGTTTTGAACGAAGAAATAATTTTTATAGAATTTGTGGTATGAAAGTGATCGAAGATCATGCTTTTTTTCAGACTAGATGCAAGATTTGTAGCGTTAAAAAAAATCCTCGCGCCGTGCTTTGTTCGTGAACGATTTAAAATTGAAAATTTTAAATGGTAAACGATCGATTAACGCGATTCAAATTGTACGCGAAACGTTCTAGAGCTCGATAACCATATTTGATCTTGGACAAGGTTTACGGCAATCGCGAGTATAATAATATAATAATAATAATAATAAAATATCTTGCGAAACAAGGAGTGGGGGGGGGGGAGGTGTTGCACGAGCGAAAAACATTCCAAAAACGAGTGAAAGTGCAACGTTCCGCCGGGTTTTATCCGTGCCGTTTGCGAATATCGGCTGCATTAATCCGGATGCAAACATTTGTAATTGAGTAATCGGGTTGAATCGAAGTACCTGCCTGGTGAGATTGTATGCGAGTCGTCGGGAAATTTCGTTACCCACGCGGGAACAAAATGGAACTATGTTTTGATACGGTTTTCGATCAAACATTGATATCGTTGTTTCTACCGTTTCGATCAAATATTTACCCCGTTCGAAAAGCAATTATCTATCTTTTTTTTTTTCCTCTTCTTTTTTCATCAACTCGCTTATTCATTCATTTTTCACTCAAGCTTATAAATAAAATCCTATGGCAAACGCGTTAGATCGTCTGGAAGTTAATTTACAGATAAAATTGAGCGTATAATAATTAACGTACGAATAAAAATTTGTAATTCAAGCGTTCGAACGTAAGAGAATCAAAATGTCACCAATATCCATCGATTTTCGATGGAAATGGTAGCAAAAAAAACTGGAGAATTTTTCCTGGACAATCAAGAAACTAACTGTTCACCGGTCGAAAGCGGGACCAATTACCGCTAATCGCGATTAACTAATTGCAACTAAATCGAACGTACGAGATACACGGTGCGCGTCACGTGCTCCACGATCCCATAAAGTTCGACGTGTGGCACGATTGAGAGCGGCGTTTGTTCGTGGCGCGGATTAACATTTGCCGCGCGATACAAATAAGGTACCGTTGCGTTCGTTTGACGATGCGTTTCTCGAGCTTCATCATCTAGAAATTGAAACGTGACGAGGTTGCGCGCTGTTTTTACCTCCTCCTTCTCTTTCTTTTTTCGTTTTTTTTCTTTCTTTTTTTTTTGCAAACACTTCTCATTATTATGGATGAATAATAATCGTGTACTTTTACGTGTGTAAATAAAGCCGATCGACGCTACTTGATTAGAAACCAGGAAAGATCGTTTTACGCGTTAATTATCGTAATGATTATTTTCGAAAGGTTCGTCAATTTTGCTTCGCCATTTTACGACGTTTTGCAAATAATTGCACAAGTGTTGGGTGAAACTGGCTCGTAAATGAAATAGATGGGAATTACTCTTTTTTTACGGTGATTACAAAATAGCTAATAAAAGGATAAAAATTTTCTTTCAAAAGATTTCATTTTGATCGTATCAATTTAGATACGATGTATTATTTACTTTTCATTTCATCTCTCTCTCTCTCTCTCTGCCAAACGTAATGATAATCGAAATAATATGATCACCTCGACTCGATTATTAATGATAATCACTTATCTATTCCATTTGCAAAATAAACAGATCGTATGGAATGATTGTTATTAAAAGTTATTTCAATTACTTGTTTGCTTAATTCGAGAAAGTTTCGAATCGAATAGTCGATCGTGTGTCGAGAAACGATACTCGACGGGAATAAAGAAGAAAGAGCGTTCCGACAACAAGAGACAAGGCGGTTCGCGAGGAATAATTATAACCCTTTGTTGACCGCGATCAAAGTTGACTCACATGCTCGTGAGTCATTTCTCTCTTTCCGGGTGTAGGCCTTCCCGCGATGGCCGTTCTACACCGAGATCCACGACCTTATTCGACATCTGACATCACCAGTAGCCTTGCCAATTATCGACCACCAACTATTACGGCCTTCGGTTATCTCTGGGTCAGCTGTAAGAATCGATCGATCGAATCGATGTCTCTCTCTCTCTATAAAATTCAATTTTAACTCGATAGCGTCACTAGAACGAATAAATCTCTTCCACGTTATTTCTTCCTCCCCCCCTCAATTTTCTTCGAATCGATCGACGATCCTCGAGAAGGAGAAGGATAATAATTATATATTTCATTTTTCCATTCGGACCAAGTCGAGGATCTTATCGAATCGCATCAAAGGATCGTACGTTTCGTACGCTTTTGTCTATCGTTAGAAAATGAATAGTTGGGTCAGAGTGCACGGTTGTTGTCGGCACGTGATAAATCTTCACGTCCGAAAGACAATGTTGGAAGGCTGCGCTATCCTTAGATGCTACCGATGAGTAACAATGAACAAAGGCATCGCCACGATTAAAGGCCTTTTGTTTGCCGGGGGTTAAATCGCGATTTAATGTTCCTTCCTCCTGGGCGTGGGCGAAATGCGCGAACGAGACAAAAGTGTGGAAAAACTTCTTTTCAAAACAAGAATCGTATCGTTTCGATAATACATCTATAACATCTATATTTGTGGGAGGAGGGTGGGGGAAATACTGTAATTTCAGAGTGCAATTTTTGTTCCAGATATGGCACAAACAGTGCTTCAAGTGTCAGGGCTGCGGCATGATCCTGAACATGCGGACGTACAAGGGTTTCAACAAACAGCCATACTGCGAGGCGTAAGTAGAATCGTTTTATCTCGTGACACTCTGATCTCCTACACTTTGTAAATAGATTAACGACTTGTTTATTCAATCTCCCTTATCTAATTAATCCCAACTATTACGGCCTTCGGTTATCTCTGGGTCAGCTGTAAGAATCGATCGATCGAATCGATGTCTCTCTCTCTCTATAAAATTCAATTTTAACTCGATAGCGTCACTAGAACGAATAAATCTCTTCCACGTTATTTCTTCCTCCCCCCCTCAATTTTCTTCGAATCGATCGACGATCCTCGAGAAGGAGAAGGATAATAATTATATATTTCATTTTTCCATTCGGACCAAGTCGAGGATCTTATCGAATCGCATCAAAGGATCGTACGTTTCGTACGCTTTTGTCTATCGTTAGAAAATGAATAGTTGGGTCAGAGTGCACGGTTGTTGTCGGCACGTGATAAATCTTCACGTCCGAAAGACAATGTTGGAAGGCTGCGCTATCCTTAGATGCTACCGATGAGTAACAATGAAACAAAGGCATCGCCACGATTAAAGGCCTTTTGTTTGCCGGGGGTTAAATCGCGATTTAATGTTCCTTCCTCCTGGGCGTGGGCGAAATGCGCGAACGAGACAAAAGTGTGGAAAAACTTCTTTTCAAAACAAGAATCGTATCGTTTCGATAATACATCTATAACATCTATATTTGTGGGAGGAGGGTGGGGGAAATACTGTAATTTCAGAGTGCAATTTTTGTTCCAGATATGGCACAAACAGTGCTTCAAGTGTCAGGGCTGCGGCATGATCCTGAACATGCGGACGTACAAGGGTTTCAACAAACAGCCATACTGCGAGGCGTAAGTAGAATCGTTTTATCTCGTGACACTCTGATCTCCTACACTTTGTAAATAGATTAACGACTTGTTTATTCAATCTCCCTTATCTAATTAATCCTCCCGAAAGCCTCCTTAGATACCAAATATATTATAAAATTGGCTTAAAATACAAAAAAAAAAAAAAAACAAATTCCTACAATTTCAATTCTATGAATCATCTCTTCGCACAATCCAATTAATCCTCCCGAAAGCCTCCTTAGATACCAAATATATTGTAAAATTGGCTTAAAATCAAAAAAAAATAAATTCCTACAATTTCAATTCTATGAATCATCTCTTCGCACAATCCAATAATCCTATTTGATAATTCGATATTGTCAAAGTTTTTGTTGTTGCAGTAATCGCGATGTACACTTCTTAAACGAGTATATTTTATACGAATCTTTACTCGTATTATGCGCACGATTCCGAGTGATCCAATTCACGACCTCGTTATATCGCTTCCATTTGACTTAAAAAAAAAAAATATATATATGTATATTAAATTAGTCCAGTTTTCGAATTATGAAATTTTCTTTGACGGTATTAATTACGTGCACAAAACTATTGTGTCTGTCGTATCGATATCAAATTCACTTTTATCCGTGTTCGCCGATTGCGACAAACAATGAAAACGCGTGTTTAGAGGCGCGTGATTGGCTGGCACGCGGAGAGGGAACGGCCGTTTTAAACGCGGCGAAAGCGAGCTGTGGTCCTGCGGCCGGGATAACCGCTGTATAAAGCATCACTTCGTGCCTTTCCAACGGATCCTCCTTTTATCGTCGCTCCTTTCAGACCGTCCTTGCCGCCGCCATTACGGTTCGGCTAACACGTTCGGCTCCTAATAAAAATCCGAGTGAAAGGATCCGAAAGTGTATCGCGCTGCGCCGAACTCTGGGCTACCCTCCGATCCCTTCCCCTCTTCTCTGGTGATAAGAAGAATCATTCCGTCCAACGCTCGTTCGACGATTTTCAAATTTGAAAAACGAAGGGAAGGGAATATTTCGAAATTTTATTGTACTTCCTTTGCATTCGAGGCCTTTTTCGCTCGGAATAACTTCGGACGGTTTCCAGCATTCGTGAAAAACTTTTATGTTTTAATATTTTTATGTATATTTATATATGAAGAAAGAAAAGTGTGATATTTTGATAATAATGTTATTATCAAGATGCTTGTTTGGTTTGACGGGGCAAGTATCGCGATAAAATGTCGTTTGATGTCTTTCGTCTTTCTTATTTTGAGAACAAATCTTATAATTCCAATAATTACTTTCACATTCACTATTTTTCATCTTCTTATACCACATCTCTATTTTCCTTCTCTCTATTAATTTCTTAACGAATAGAAATAATTTCGTTATTTAATAACGAAAAATCAATCTCATTTTCGCTTGAACTAATTTCATTCCATACTTATAAAACTCAGAAAATGATGTTTCTATCGCCGCGACCGTCGAACTTGGACTAAGGCCGAAAATGTAGTTCGATCGCGGTCTAATTTATTCGTGAAGCGATATTTTAAAAAAATCAAAGCGATCACCGAGAGCCATCGTTGAAATGCAAAGGGTTAATTCGAGACTTTTGAAGTGAAATTTGAAAGAAGTTGCACTTATTGAAATATGTTATGGATGGAAGAAAATTGTTTGACATTCGCGGATACGTTTGTTCCTTTTTCTTCTTTCATTTTCTGATCGCGATAACGCAAGATCTGTCTTAGCTCGTATCGCTAACACGAAGTACACACGCGTGATTAAAGTGAAAATGGCGTGGAAGGTAATTTGATAACACGAGATATCATTGGACGGAATATTAATAAGCACAATACGATTTTATTTTATTTACCGTTTAACGAGTCATCTTATCGCGATACGTAACAAGGTACTCACTCAGAGAATGCAGTTATCGATGCAGTTGATCGTTTTCAACTGCAAATATAATAATTTTACCAGTCTTTTCTTTTTACATAATTATTATCATCATGGTTTAATTAATGAAGCGCGATTCGTAATATCGTCCATTCGAATCTATTTTTAACCGAATTCAAACGACAAATATACGACACGCAAATTCAGATTCCTTTCTTTCTTACAAAATTTGATCGTAAATATATCGCGTATAATGTATAAATTCTCGGTTAATTCTCGTTTGTCGTCGGTTGACGCATCGAAATTGATTTCGAGTCCCATTCAATTTCGCGTCGCTGACGTAGATCAATTGAAACGTACACGTTTCAGGGGAAGGCCGAGGAGAGAGCGTGCAAGATCTAACGCTTTTTCGTGATCGCTTCTCAACACCTCCCTTCGTACGTCCAAAAATCCGTAAATCCTTATATTCCGTCCGACGTTTAATCATTCAGAATTCAGGCGATAAATTATTCCATAACTTGCTTACTCATAAGACGCAAATAAAGTAATTTGCATAATGCGCTCTCGGCGAAGAAATATATTTTTTTACAACGAACAGATGTGTACTTTGGAGCTAATTGAAAATCGAACAATCGAAGTTTCGGCTCGAGAAATTCAGAGTTGGTGAAAATATTTATAGAACGTCGTGAAAATTACGAATAAAATTTTCACGATTTAAATTTCGAAACGTTATCTTTTTTAAATAAAACTAAAATTGAAAGTTTGCGTTTAATTAGTCTTTTAATGCGTTTTATCGCACATGCGCGATTAGATTAACCGAGCATTAATAGATCGGACAAAATTATGGAATATTTTGCAAATTCGGAAAAATATTCCGATCCAAATAAGGAAGAATCTCTCGACGACTTAATTCGCGATCGAGAACGGCCGATTTATCGGAGTTGGCAAATCGGGTATGCGCCGTTTTACCGTAAAGTTGTCCGAGCGGTGACTCGCCGAGTATTCCGAGTGAGCATCTGCGATGACGAAATTCTTCGGAGCGTGTTTCGAATCTGCCGTTTTGCGTCTTTTCAACCGCATTATTCGCCGCGTAACGGCATGCAATTTCCTCGCGAATACGAGATTCGTTTTGTTGCCACGAGGAAGTAGCTGCTCGAGAGAATTCACGATACGCGGATGGCCTCGAATTTCTTAATCGAAACAAATTTTCCTTCCTTTATCGACTGTCTCGTACGATTTTTATATAAATAACGAATCGTATAGATTCGAACGGAAATTTCGAGAGAAACTCGTACAGTGGATAATTTCGATGCTTTTGCATATGCTCCTGATATAGATGTGCGATGATAATAATATTTCACGGTTACGTTGCTACCGGTAACTCTTCTTTTCGTGGACTCTCTCGAAGAAAGCACGGTTGCGCTGCGAAACGATATGGTTTGCAACCGCACACCATATCAGCTTCCATCATCAATTTTCTTCATCCTCGTCGTGGAACTAAACAAAATCGTTTATTACATCGTTTCTATTTTCGTTTAATAATCTCTCTCTCTCTCTCTCTCTCTCTCTCTCCACGATAATTCGCGTATCGCGTGCGTTTTCGTCCGTTTCTCGTTCCATTCGACCATTGCGCATGGTACGAAAGCGGCAACAAAAGCGTGTTGCGATAATAACCGGCGGGGATCGAACGGTTCACGAGACAGCATCGCGCTTCTCGCGACAGGAATGCGACACGGTGCATGTGTCGGCCAATGCGTGTCGAATCAGACGATGGACTGAATAAGCAAAGCAGAACACGTGTGAGTCGTGAGATTCATTCATTCGTCTGGTACATCCCTCCCCACCCTTCCCCGCCCACCCCTCGCCTTCATTTCCCTTGCTCTTTATCTTCCCCTCCCCCTTTCTCGCGTCTGTTCATTTAATTTTTATGAGCCCGTATATATGAGCATCGGAGCAACGTACTTACGTCGTCTGCCAGGACTGACTGACCTCCTTTGGATCCACGCAACATTTTCCCTTTCTTTCTTTTAATTTTTAATCTTGGAAAGGAAAAAAAAATAAAAAATAAAAACTTAACTATACTTATCTATCGCATAGCCTGCAGATTTTTCAATGTCAACGATATCATCTTCTATTGAGCGAGTAAGATAAGATTCATATCATTTATTATTTAAGGCCAAGTATCGCGTGTGCAACGCGTAGAAAAAATATTCCATTCCACCAGGGAAAGTTTTTTTTTCTTTTTTTCGATCGAAACGAGCCGATTTCCTGCCCGGTTGGCATA